GCTGTTAGAGTGGCATGATAAGAGCAAAATCCTACTCAGGTCTTTGCCATGGGTTGGCTGCTGCCTGTGACCCCTTGGGAGCTCACGGCTGCCTCTGGGGTTTCACCCAGTGCGTTTGCATTTATGCTGGTTGTACCTGCAGCAGGATCCCAAAACATCAGTCAGAACTAACAAGCAAGTTAAACACTGCCTAAGAAACAAAGATGGCAAGTATTCTTGTTATACTTACATATTCCCATGGGTATTGTGAAGCCAAGCTTTCAGTTTATCAGGGAACTGAATTTAAGTAGTTTTTTTCAAGGTGCCAAAAAAGGTGGCAGATAAGGATGCCAAGTTACTATAGTAACCATGAGGAAAGTGGTGATTATCAGCAATACCACACAGAAAAGCCAGACTGGATTGTCTTTTCATTTTACATGGAGCCCACTGCTTAAAAAAACCAAGCCCTTTTTCTAAAATGAAGAAATAGCAACAAAAAGTAACTCCAATATGAAATGCACTATACAGAATTCTTGTCAAGGCTTTCTCTGCCCTGTGCAACCTTGCTGTTTGACCCAAAGTTGAAAGGATGTGCCGCTAAACATAATGCTTTATGGCTGAAGGCTATGTGAATAATAAAGCATGACTTCTCATGTTTCTCACCTAGTAACGGTGGCAGCAGAGGGGAAAAATCAATACTGATGTCCTACCGCAAGCTCCTTCGGACAGAATGTGTTCTTTCTTCAGCATAATGAGGCTCAGACGTAGAGACAACACTTGCGTACAAGTGACAGTACTGCAAGAACAAAGATTACAAAGTCCTAACCAGTCTGTGCTGGTGCTCACATGAACCAGGTTGTCTGTAACCAACAGCTTGATGCTGCTGCAGTCCACAGAGATCTAAAGGCTGAACCTTGTTATTTGGCTGGGCTTTGGAGAAAACCTCAGTACATGGACCTAGGGCAAAGGGAATGAGAAATGGGGAGAATCATTCCAGTGACAGAAACAAACTGCTCTGGGCTGAGGCTAATAAGTGTTTTAAACATTTATTCTTCCTCCTGAGCTATCTGGAAGCTGACTGTGTTTTTTGGCAACAGAGATGTCTCACATGCATAAGGAACACAGAATGGCCTGACACCAACTGGCTGTGATCTGCTGACTCCACTATTTCCAATGCACATCCTAGCAACATTAATGAAGCTTTACTACAATTTAACACATTTAAAATTTCTGTTCCCAAAATCATAACTGATGTGGAGTCTGTAGAAATAAATCCCTACAGTTTCATTAATCTGAACCTTTATGCCCAGACAAAGATCTTTTCACCTGTGCCCTGATTTAGCCCCAGTTGGCAATCAAGTACCATGCAGTGGGATGGGGAGGAGAATCAGAAAAAAGGTAAAACTTGTGGATTAAGATAAGAACAGCCCAATAATTAAAATAATGTACAATATAATACTACTAATAATGCAAATAACAAAAAGAGGGTGATAAAACTAAAAAAACCCTAACAAACACCAGTGACGCACAATACAATTGCTTTCCACGCAACTATCCCCAAGCAGCGATCAGTCCCTCCTGGCCAACTCCCCCCACATTTCTATACCAGGTATGACGTGCTGTGGTATGAAATACCCCTTTGGCTAGTTTGGGTCAGGTGTCCTGTCTCTGCTTCCTCCCGGCTTCCCGTGCCCCTCCTCACTGGCTGAGCATGAGAGACTGAAAAGTCCTTGATCGGGGTAAATGCTACTGAGCAACCACTAAAACATCCGTGTGTTAGCAGCATTATTCTCACACTAAAGCTGAAACACAGCACTGCACCAGCTACTAGGAAGGAAATCAACTTTACCCAGCTGAAACCAGGAAAACCTGTTGGAAAGCATGCTCTAGTGAGAACTGTGTGATTTTCATGGGCGAAAACATCGCACATGACCGCTAGGAGCTCTTCATCACTTGCCATAAATGCTGGCATTGATAAATTGGCTAAACAAAAAGCATGCTGCGTGCCAGCAATACTTCAGTTCTAGGTTCACAGGATGGTGATTAAGAAAAACACTGTGAGCAGAACTCACAGTCCTTGTATCTAAGGGTTTAGAGCCGATCAGCTCACAGGTGGTGTTCACAGTGTTATGGCAATCAATCCCCACGGATGCTAAAGACATAAAGCTGCTAACTAGAATACAAAGGGCAAGGATTCCAAACTGCTGATTTTGAAAAGCATGACTTACCTATAAAATAGTGTGCTAATGACTGGAGAACAGAGCATAGCTGGACTTGCCTGTGAGGGTGCCTGGAACAAGAGACTCGCCCAGAACCTAGTGTCACTACCTGGCTGGCTCCTTACTGCATTAGTGGCGAGGATAAGGCCAGGCTGGATGGGGCTTAGAGCAAGCTAGTCTAGTGGCAGAGGGTTGGAACTAGATGAGCTCTAAGGTCCCTTCCAACCCAAACCAGTCTCTAATTCTATGAAAGTGGAGCCTCCAAGAATTCCCTCTTGTCCAAGCTTCAGATGTCCACTGGTATTCTTTTGTATGTGACACATTAGCGATTGCCTGCTGTGAAGCCAGGACCAGCAGAACTACCCAGGCAGGCAGTGGGACACAATCCATCGGACCTTTGCAGAATTCTCTCTAATAAACAGCAGACACCAGTTTGCAGCCTGTTTTTGTTGTTCTTTTTCCCAAAGTGAGCAGTTACCTCAGTAGCATCAGTGACCCAGTCTGGATTCAAGGTGGTACTCTTGGTCATCCAACCACTCCTGTGAGACATGCAGCTATGAAGGGAAAATTAATGACACATTTTAAGTAGTACTTACCACAGGGTAAGATACAGGGAGCATAGTCCTGATCACTAAATGATGCTAAAGACAAAATGGTTAGATATGCACAAGCATGTACAAGCCAGCATCTGATTTTTGAAGGTCAAAATTATGATTTCATTGAACTTTTAAACTGATTATGGCATTAGCAAGAACAGGTACAAATCCTTCTGGGAGATACAGGCTAAGGTAGGGCAAGTAAATTATCTGAGCACAGTATCTGTCTTCCTGTGGATTTCAGTGCTACTTGAATCAATTTGTAATGATATGTTTGTACCTGCCACAGAAGCCAAATACACAATCTGATTTTATGCCAAGTCACTATTAACAGCTGCATTTCCAATTGATTCTAGGATATTCATTAACCAGGATCCATAATTACATATAATTTACAGACATAGCATTTTAAATCACTTGCCAGGGAGCTTACTAAGCTCACTTTATGACAGTCAAATACATTATTCTTAAAAATTCACTGAGTTATCAGCTTGCAAATAATTACAGTGGAATAGCACTGCATATAATCAAGTAGATACTGAGAACAAGAATTGCCAGAAATGCCTATAGATCATTTTTGCCATTCCCTTCAACCGTCTCCAGAAAACTATTATGTACTCAACTGGTGGATTCCAAATCTGTTCCACTAACTCAGATTTGTTTGCAACAGAGTTAGAACACAGCTCCTTGGACTTCTTGTCTCATGGGCAACCCCTGTCCAAGACCTCTTCTTTGATACCAGGCAGCTCATTTTTTAATGATTTATTACCCTTTGAGCAAGTGTCCTGTTGCCTGGGGGGACACTAGTGGCAAGCGGCTCTGCACAGCGTTGCAAAATCTCCCTTGCCTGGAAATGACAGGCACTGCTTGGAGCCAAGCAGCAGCAATGCCAAGGCAGAAACACCAGATCAGGTTAACCAGTTTTTAGAACAGATTGGTATGTCTCTATACACAGGATTTTATTAATTTCATGGAATGATTTCACTTTCAAAGTCTATGTATGGTCTGGTTTGTATCTGTGGTCTTTCTCCATGGTCAATAGGGGTATTTTATAGAATTATAGAATCATTTAGGTTAGAAAAGATCTTTAAGATCATTGAGTCCAACTGTTAACTCAGCACTGCCAAGTCTACCACTAAACCATGTCCTTAAGTGCCGTATCTACACATCTTTTAAATTCCTCCAGACATGTGACTCCACCACTTTCCCGGGCAGCCTGTTACCATGCTTGATAATCCTTTTAGTGAATTATTTTTTTCTAATATACAATCTAAACCTCCTTATGTACCATAGAAAACAACTACACACTGATGCAGGAAATTTAAAATTCAAGTTGGAACTTTAGGATGCTCACTGAAAACTCCACTGAAACCCAATACAGATGAATTAAATAAATCACAATTATTACATTGCAAGGTGTAACAGAAAAACTAATACAAATCTGTAAGAGCTGCACTCTGAACACAGCTTCCCATATGAATTGTATACACACCTTGTCTTACATGAAAGAAGGCTCCACTTTTTAAGTGTTGAAACAATCATTCTTCCTGCTTTACATCAGTAAAGCAGACAGTAGCTGGTCTCTCAGAACCTGCCATATTTACCCTGGTTTTGGTCTCCATTTATAAATTGCCCCTGCAGTTTAGAATGCACCACACTGTACAAACTGCAGCTTGGACATCATCCCATTACTGTAATATGTGACAGTAGAGAACTCCTTGAAGATGAAGAAAATACTGGTTTCTCTGATGACTAAAGGGACAGCTTACGAAATGGAGGTCTTTGAACACTGTATAACTTAGAATACAAAGAGTAAGATAGCAGAGAACCAATTAAAAATACACAGTAAGCAAGTAATGAAAACATTTTATTTGAGTAAACCCATAATTTACAGATAAACACCACAAACCTTCTTGTTTCAGCTTTCTTTGATATAGAACCTCTGAATACTGAAAATAAATTAGACTAACAAATAAAAGTCACATTCACAAGGAACTTTCATGTTTGTGATTTTCCACTGCATTACAACTTAATAGAAAACTATAAAAATAAGACACTATTCACAAAATATATTAATCTGTTTGTAAAACTATTGGTTAACTCAAGTTTTAAGTTTCATGATAAATTATACAGCTCAGCCACACTTTACGAAGAGTTGAAAGAGAAACCTACTCTAAATACAAAATTATATCCTCTCACAATCCAACTATGCCAATTCATAGTACTTCCCAGAATTTGGATCAAAGTAACAGTTCAGACATGGATCATACAAAAGAGTCAAAATTTCCTCGTCTTCTTCAGCATTGAGATCATCTTCACCTGTGTCAAGTGGAAAAAGTAAGAATAAATCACTCTTATTCGCTTAGACAATAACATGGAAATTCCATTCTGTCAGATGTGACAGAATTTTTCTTTGAGGTGTATAATCTTTTCACTCCTGCATTGTAACCTCAAGATAACAGCAATCGCATTTTTATTGTATTTCTGAAGACCTGTATTTAGTTGAGGTGAGATTATGTCAGTCAGAGACTGCTTAACAACTGGACTTTCCAAATGGAGAGGTTGTCCAGTAGGACTTCTACTGATGGTGGATCAAAGTATTCCTAAATGATATTTTTCTCAATGACCTTCTTAAACAATAATGTTTTAGCAGTCAGACAGTCAGTGTATACTTAAGGCCTCAAAGAATTAAAGAATTTGAATGTCTGGTACCCAATATGTCACCTAAATGTCCAGTATAGGTAAATCTGTACAAAAGAGCTTTCAATATTGGAGAGGAAATAAGATTATTTTAAAGAATAAAATCTAAAATTAGGTTGTTTAAAGTTAGGTAAAATGCAAGAATGTTTTCAGGTAACTAAAATACATTGCTAAAACCATACAGATCCTTATTACAGATGCTTTATATATTGTAGTTCCTTTTCTAAACCTATTTTTCAAATAAGCTAAATCTAAGTTGTATGATCTATAGCTTTTTGATAGGAAATAATTCACAGTTGAACACAATCTGTATCTTGAATTTCATCAGAAATGTCCATCTCATTCTTAGACTGCTAATACAAACTAAATGCTTTGTATGCCCTCACACTCCATAATAAGTAATGGTTTGTTATGCTAACAACAGCAGTTTCACAATGCTCAGAATCTATTTACAGCCAGGATCATGCCACGATATATAGGTTACATTATCTAGAGACCAAAAAGTAGGTTGGTGCATTAATGCAGACAGAAAAAGTGTGAGCTTTAGTGTTTCAGAACAGATTTCATTTTTGTTTCCTCAGTAGCATTAACAAATGCCATCAGAAAGAAACTATCTTTTACTGTAACCAAAGGTAAAAAGGTAAAGCTAAACCTTCCCTGCTGTAAGTACTTCATCAGTCCTGGTGAGCTAAATGAGGTTAACTGAGATATTTTGTTTGGATAGCTCTTGGGAAAAATTACGCAGTGCAGAAAAGAAGGCATAAAACTGAACGCTGTTTTCTACACTTTAGATCATAGTACACAAGCAAATGCCATTCATTACCCATTCCCTCACGTAGTCTTACATTTTCGTTTGAAAACCATGGTGTTATTTCCACTGAATTTTTCCTTTTATTATTTTGCTTTTCCCTGTCTATGCTTCTCTTCAAAGTGATCTTCTTTTCTTCTCTAAGCTTAAGTCTCCTTCCCTCTTTACCTGGGAACTGGCCTCTCAATATACTTCCTGGTCTGATATAGAAATAGAATTCTCCGCACTCATTGAGGTATACCGCTTTCCCTGCATACCTTGAATTCATACTGGATCAGAATTAGATTGCATCCAGGCCTGGCTGGATTTATACCTTTATAGCAGTAATTCCCTGCATGTATTTTCATGTGAACAAGAACTTAGTTTTCTACATGTATCTTGTTTTTAAAGTTAGGCTTCTTTCTTTTAGCACAGTATCCCCAAATGCATGTTAAGGCTAATCCAGATGTTGCAACAGATTTCCAATGGCAGCATAAAGTATTCAGTTTTGAACAAATTAAAAGAAACATATGAAAATGTCACTTCTGCTCCTCTACTTCCTAAAAAGTACTAACTAAATTAAGTGACATTTTTCCACATGACTCAGCTAACGTGTAATGGTTGTGTTAGAAGGCATCTTTCTACTTTCAGTTTGTGTACAACTTGACCATATGTGGAAATGAAGTGTCCATGGCCAAATTAACTGATGAGCCCCTTTCAAAGAACATTTCCAGAGCTGTTTAAGCTGCCACCGTCCACACTTTTGGAGTTGAAGCTGCTCAGAATTGCATGAAAAAAAACCTCTTGGCAGTTTAACTTGAACATCACAGTGAAAGCGAAATCAAAGCTTTTGTTCGTAAATCACTACAAAATTAAACAGTATTTTAGGCTAGAAATAACTTGATTTGAAATAAAACCTCAAGCCTGAGAAACACATTATAAAGGGATGAGTATATTTTAGTTCTGAGCTGAAAGACTGAGGGTAGTTAATACCTCTGAATACCTGTCATATTAAATGAATGCTGCCCCACTGAAATCAGGGGAGCTATTGTTTTCATGGTGAAAGGCTTTTGCTCAAAACGTTTCAACCTGGATAACAAAGAATGGAGGAGGCATGTAGCAGCTTTTTCTGAACTCTGAAATACATGTACAAGTAACGGCTGTTGTTTGCCTTGTGTTAACACTGGTTACATAGTCACCACAGTCTGGAGAACTAAAACAAATAGTTTCCATTTTCACAAAAATATATTTCCCCTGTATTCTAGGTTTTAATACTAGAAAATGGCTTGTAGCCAATCTCACTTTAAGATACATGGATCATATTCTGACCCTGACATAACTCAACTGCACTGGATCAGGTGTCAGCAGAAGGGATGCTGAAAAGAACACTGCTAATATTCTTTTTTATATGATCCTTGAACACGGAACTACAGTGCTCAAATCTATACTGTAATTATGTGCTGCAGGGTTACCATATGACTGTGGTCAACAGCTGTAATCCAAGACAGGCTATTCAGTGCTGTGGTTCCTGAGGTTCCTAGAATTCATGACTCTGCCTTTGTCACTTACTGGGGAAACTTTCTTGCATGATTTGTTATGTCAAGATGATATTGTCTATAAATGAGAACTATCAATGCCCAAGAAGGGAAAAATCTATGGAAATTTATCATATTTATGAGTGTAAATTTTCCTCTTGATTGTCTTGTGAAACCTGTTGAGTAGAAGACTACTTCTCATTATGTCTACCTATTTAACTAATGCTGCTGCAAATGTTAAGAACTATAGAGTATAATGCTCTCTTAGAAATCAATCACCTTTCTTCCTCAAAGTTATGCTCCAACTTAAAGATTTTTTTCTAAATATAAGAATTAAAAAAATCTTTATAAATACACTAATGCTATACTACCTGGTTTTCTTTAATGATAGCTTTAGATAAAATTAATACCTTGAATACATTATGAATCACTGCAGATTTTCAGTTCTGATAATATGGTTTTGTTATCCTGTGGTAACTAGAATACTGGAAAACTGCACACACACAAAAATCTTGTGAAGTGAAGTCACTGTCCAAGATGAGAAATAATTCATTTTCTAATGTGGTATTTTTAAGAAAATAATGAGCAGGGCAGCAGAATTTTCTGGAATGAATTTGATCATTCAGTTTATTGATCAGATCTGGTACTTGACTGTCACTAACAAAACTGTTCTTTCATCACATAAATACCTATTGTCAAATGAAGTGACTAAGAAAAACTAACTGCTAGAGACATACCACAGGACACAACAAAAATGTAAAGCCATCATAAAAAGCTATAGTTTATAGAGATTTTCTGTTCTCCAAATGTGCGGTCATGGACATGATGTGAAGTATTTCAGCATAAAGGAAAATGAGTTTAGAAACAATTCACAAACACAGTGGAAATTCTGGTGTGAATAACACAAGAAATGCAACAAATTCCCAAGTATACTTCTTTTTCTAAAGATAGTACCATTTTAAAATCTACAGAAACTGTAGCTTTTCTTCAGTAAGCCTCAGATTTCATAATACTAACATAAAAAATTCTCAGAGACCTATCACATATTTATATCCAACATGCCTCTAACTCAAGGATTATTGTCCAATTCTCTTTGACTTACTTAGGACCCTTAACAAAACATTCAAAGCAAGGTCCCTTCCTGAGAGCAAAATTCTATTTTGCTGTCATAAACAATTACAAATATACATCTATGAAAACATTCCCCATTTGAAGGGCATAATTTGTTTTAGACAGTAAGTCACTGAGGCATCGTCCCTTGGGCAGTCAAAATACACAGGTCAGATTTATGAGAGCCCACACTGAATTCCCCAGAGTTGAAGAAAAATGTAGACATCTATCCTGTTTCTTAAGACAACCGAAAAGAAAAAAGGGCACTTGAAAAAAATAAGGTATTTGTTTTATTCTACTGTTGTTGACTTTCTAGTTTCAGCTGAGTTCTTTGCCATTTACTAAGCAAATACCATTAATAAACAAAACCCTGTAACATTTTAAGTGGCAACAACAGCCTTTACTCAGGAAATCACACTAAGATTTCATTTAAAGCTAAATCTGAAACTTTTCTTTGTAAGAGAAATATCACTTACATAAGTGTAATTGTGCTTCTGAACAAGAATGTTTAGTCTTTGCATTCCTTCTTTCATAGCTTTGCCATCCCCACTAGCATAACATGCATTTTTTGAGTTAATTTGTATTGAGCCAGAACATTAGGAAACTGCAACTGTGTAAGTTGTTCTTCTATCAGAGGCAAATAATACTGCATAGAAAACTCTACCAGCTTGAAAAGAAAAGTAAATAAAAGAACTTGGAACCGAAATGCTGCAGCATAGAAAACTATGAAAAGGCAGCACCAGCACTACAGAAAGAGCATTTCAAAATGTCTTTCTACCCAGGACCTTTTCATCATCTTTATAAATTCCTACCTGGAGTACTCCGATTTGCTGAAGATTTAGTGTGCTTTTCCAGCTGCTGGCTTCTAGGAATGATGGGGGGACTGAACACGTCCATCCAGTCCCTGAAAAATACAAATCGAAATATCATTCATAAAAGCACCGTTTGTGGTCCTATTATTTAAAAAACCATTTCAAAGGAAACTGCAGGTTGTCAAGTGTGATGAAACAAAATCAAGATGGATTTTATTATTATAAAAATAAACTCTACAGTTAATACAATTCTTAAATGTTAAGGCTTCCTCCCTTCCTTAGCCTGTACACCCCAAAATCTATGTTTTAAGCTGGGTTTGCTTTTCAGATTTGAGCTGGTATTGCTCTCTCAGCAAAAGGTGTACATGAGGTGTGATCAATAATCCAGAGTTATAGCCTGAAGACTACAGGACTCCTGAAAGTGTTTTTCCTGAGGAATAAAGATTTGGGATGAACAATCTGGTTTTGATTGTAGAGACTGATGGGGCCAATTTGATTAAAAATCCTTACCCTCTCTAAGGAAAAAAGGCTTACAGACAATAATAACAGATGTCTTTGGTTATTACTGACTTGGCACTGCTTGGAGACCTCTGTACCAGGGTGACATGGCAGGTGGTTCATCACTCACAGTCTAGACCGTTGGTGACTTAGAGCAGAGCTCACACTTGAAATGGATGCCACTAGCAGTGTGTTACCAGCTCAGTGGTCATGAACTGTGGGAGAGCTGATTTGTATTAAATAATTTAGTCTTTCTAGTTTAATTTAACCTCAAAATTTTTCAATAAAGGCATGGAATTAGTGGTCAGAGCTAGGAATAATATACTAAGCAGTTTGCTAGTGTTCTTCAGAAGGAAGCACTGGATTGATTCAGGATGTTATTGCTGACAGTATTGTTGACATTGGAAAAAAAGCTTTGGCAACCACATTGTAAAAAAATGTTTATAACATTATTATAAAATTTTTTATTATTATAAAATGTTATATGTTATAAATAAAGAAGTTGTTATCAAGCATAACATGATTTTAGCTACAGGCAAGACCATACAGAGGATTCATCTTGGCTGTCACACATCTATTTTGATTCTGTAAAGAAAAAAATTTTGATGGGATCTTTATCATAGATGAGGGAGTACAGACCTTCTTCACCTATTCAGTTTAATAGGCAATTTATGTCTCTCCTCAACACTATTTTGTGACAGCTTTTAAAAATGATTCTCACGTTATCACACATCCATGCAAAGTTCAATGTTCATTTCACGTACGCTGTTTTATGATACACTGTCTGTGTTTCTTACAGCTCAAAGGCAAATAGAACAGTTTTTATTGTTATTATTACTGCTTTTTATTGCAAACTGAACTGCAGATTTTTTCACTGAAAAAGTCACTCATTTTATACCACATCTTGTAATTCTTTTCGTATATGAAACTAATCTCTGTACACTGTATATAGCTGATGTTTCCTCAAGTTCCCATCTCTCCTCATCAACAGTAAAGAGCTATAACACATTCAAGCTTTCATATAACCATTAACTAGGCTAACTACTTGCAAGTTAACACTTAAACATAGAATGCAAGGGACCTCAATAAATTATCTCATTTTCATCAAACCAGATCCATAAAGACCAACTTATTTCAACTACAAGGCAAGGGGAATGGAAAGGAAAAGGGGTCTTTAAATTTCCTTACATTTGCTTCATGCTGATGGGAACAGTGACCTCTGCAGAGTAAATTAAATTTGATTTGGGGTTGCTTTGACTTACATCTGGCCACGGCTGTTCCAGCAGCTGCTACAAAAATATGCATGCAAACTTCTGCTGGAGGCCAGTGAGATTAGCCAGGGCTGTGGAGGTAACTTCAACATCCATGGCTTCTTCTAGAAGGGATGAACTCTTCCTAAGCTTGACAGATTTCGTTACATTGCCAGACTGTAATTGTCCAAACTGAATTGTCCAACACCAAGTAAACGGGTAACGTACTGCTTTCTGAAAAGCCTTTGATGATGTCATGTAAGATTTGCTTCTGACAAAGGCATCTGGCAAGGTTCAGTCATGTGTTGTAATTGCTAAAATATGCCAACTTTTATGTTAGTTTTTCTGCTACTTCTGGACTAGTTATTGATTTCACATCATCTCCTGTTGGCATGCAGGCATAATCTGGGGTGAACTGGGGGACAACCACCTATCCGTTTGCAGTCAAAATGGAAAAAACCTAATTTTCTGCTTCAGGAAACAGAACTGCTGGTGTAGAAATCCAGCAAGTAGCACAGCAGATTTAAAGGAAGAGATATTGAATTTTCCATCATTTCAATAGGTAAAAACATACTTCAAAATTTTTTTACACCATCATATTATTTTCACATATATGGTCAACTTCACAAGCAATCCTTCTCTTCTGCTGTTCAGCTAACACCTGAGAACTGGTACAATGAGTCCATACAGCGATATGCTTGCCTAGACATCTCACTATTGGCTCTCTCTGGCACTACTCACCATATCTGCATTCCCTGAATATGGCCAAAGACTCTTTGTTTACACCAAAGCTTCAGAAGTTTTTAGGAATAACAGGTAAATGCATGCTATGACATCCAGTGGCATGGTAGAATATATTTTCCATTTCTGCCGCTTGCATGTGTGGTTTGTGCTGCCTCAGAATCAGCAAACATAAATCGAACACTAGAATCTGACCATGCTCATAGGATGTGGTCAGAGAGCATGAAGCATTATCAGTTACCTGATTCTGTACAATTGCACTGAAACACAACATCAGCAAAAGCAATTTCTTGGAGAAACTGAGGCAATTTTAGAGAAGGCAGGGAAGAACTATTAGCACTAATCTCTGCCTCTTAAGCTACCCTTTCTTCCAAATTCACTACAGTTTTTAGTTCAGTATTACCTATGACCCAGTCTAGATCCAGTTTGTTTTTTTCTCTCAATGTCCAAGAAAAACTAATAGCTTTGCTATTCAAACTCCTCCCACCAAGACAAATAGTCAAAACACCACAGTATTACAGATCCATTGTTGACTTAGCGTTACTTTTAAGATGGAAACATATTACACGGTTTATATTAAACCAAGTTTATTACTTCCACAAGTTGGATAACAATGTTTATTACTTCCACAAGTTGGATACCAATGGATAAATCAACTTCTCCTAAAATCTTGAGATAAAAACCCCAGAATAAAACAATCTCATGTGTGGTGAAATATTCTTGGCCACATTGCAGTAGAGAGTAAATACTAGCAGCTGATTGATAAACTTCTGAGAAGTGGGCTTACATTGGTAATTCTAATAGATGCTGATAGAGGCTAGCAGACCTTGCCTAAAAGTAGAGCCCAGCATGGAGACAACAGGCAATATCCTGAGAAAAGCAGACTGGAGCCTGTGTTCCCATTTATGTCAGTTTTATTCTGACTGAATAAAGAATATTGTTTTTGAGAACTTCTTGAAGCAGCGAGTTTATCTCCTTAAACCAGCAAAGCTAATAACACATTCTGACTAATTAAAGTCACTGCCTTTAAGCTATCAAAGCCTCCAGTTGTAATCAATACAATCGATGTGCAATAAACTATCTACAGCTTTCCTGGTAACAATGTGGAATGCCAAGTATTGTCTTTTGACATTCAACTGCACTGTATGAAGCCTCAGAATAGCTTCCACACACACTCAAAGTACCATGCACCTTTAAAGCTTGCACTAGAATTCTTCATTACATTGAAAGCTATTCTCTGTACCAAAACAGAATTAAAAATACTATA